CATTGGAATGCCAAGGCAACATCCCTAAGATAACTAAACTACTTCACTCTCAAGTACAGGACTCTCTCTCATCATTCATTTGCATGACAAGCCAACATGCATGTATCTTAGTTATCATAAAACTAAGGGATCCACATGGGAAGGGGAGAGGATAAAGAAGTCGAGAGTGTGGAGAAGCTGACCTTCCATAAGGAATTACCAAGGAACTATGAGGAAAACCTGCTTTTTGAAGAAAAAGTCTCAACAAAATGGTTCACACATCTAGGATTCAAATATGGAAGTCCTTTTCTGTAAGTAATGTGCCACAAAATTCATGCAATTTCAACAAAGTCTCAACGTGTGCTGGATAAAGTGGTAAGCTGCCACCAAGTACGAGGATTCTAAGATCAAGGATATTTAGAAAGTAAATCCATGAGTACACAACCGGTTGCTCTTAATGTAGAACACAACCGGTTGCTCTTAATATAGAACACAAAGAGAATGCGACCTACAACTTCTTCACTGTTTAGATACCAAGTGTTATTTCCCTTTCATTCTTCTTAATAATTGTAACCGCAAATTTGTTATCCATTCAACAAGATTATATTGCTAAACTTCAGTAGGCTTTCTCAATCCTTAAGTCCTGGTAGATAAGGTTTCTAATAAAATCATAAGTAGTTCCATTCAATTCCTCAGAATTCAGTGAATAACTTCCTAGCTATGCCTCAAAATAAAACAATCCAAGATTCATTGAGCCGATTTCAGGCTAAACAGGTACCAATTAACAAAACCAAAACACACACACACAGAGAGCAATATCAAATTATCAATCATATATGATGACGAAGATGAAGATGAAGATGATGATGATGAAGATGATGATGGTGATGACGACAATGATCATCATCATCATCATTGGTGAAGTTAAGAGAGAAAGGATCTCATGTCAAGCACCTCTGAGCTTTAAATTCAAGCAGAGATGAACAAGCATAACAAGAAGCACAATCGAACAACAATCAAAAATGAAATTCGACATTTAAACAACCGAACAACAATCAAAAACGAAAATCGACCTTTAACAGCGCACTTACTTCTCCCCATGCCGAGATCCTGCCTGTTATAAACGAACCAGAGCTCTACCAAAGCGCAAATCAATTGAGAGAGGAAAATAGTTACAGATGAATGAAGAGGTGTCGATGAGACGGAAGCTCCGATTCAATGCAAGTCCTATGAAGTCAGAGAGATTTATATCCATGTGATAAGAGAAACCTGGAGAATATTCAGGGGAACAAATGTAAAGCATGAAACGGAGGGAGGGAGAAAGATGTGGCGCTGTTTCGCCTCAAGCCCTAAATTGAGTGCGAGAAAGATGTGGTGAGGTGTAACCCTGAGCCCCAAATGCGACATTTGAGGCTTTATAGAGAGAGAGAGAGAGAAAGACTTGACTCAACTAGTGTTGGAGTTGTATAGAGCCGAGGCCCTAAACAATCAAAGTAATGCGTACCTTCAAATAGTGGCGAGAGATGTGATTTCAAAATCGGAAATCTTTAGATAGTTTTAAAATATATTTTATATTTAATTATACAATTTAAAGCTTCAAAACTAGTGTAGATAATCTTGAAAATTGACCATCAAAAAATGTATTACAAGATGCACTATTTCCAAAACTTGAAATCTATTTTTTTCTCATGTACATGCATCTTGATGTCGAGATGATCATTTGAGGATATTTGAGCATCAAAATAACCTCTTCTAGTGAAATTTTTGAGGAGGGCTTGAATTTGATTGTAACCTCGGCTCTATATAAGGAACTTATTTTTTAAAACTCCGTTTCTATTTTCTAGTGGCAAGAATGTTTTTCTTTTAGAAAAAATTACAAAAAAAACTCAAGATAATACGTTTTAGGGAAATTATCTCTAATATATACCTATATTTTAATAAATAAATAAACAAATAACCAACTTTCCAAAACCTTTCACAACATTTTTCCTAATTTTTGGCTTTTTTGGACGAAAATACCCTTCATGCTAGTCTTTCTGCCGTAATACATTTTGACATTTACGGTAATTATAATACCATTATAAATTGAGATTCTGTTATGGTATTTTAAATATCGTAATAATATGAAGTTATATTACTGTACTTCGAGTACCGTAATACCTAATCTTTTATTTACGGTATTAAGAATACCGTAATGACTTTGAAACCTTATTACGGCAATCGAAATGCCGTAATTGTTTCGCACCTTATAACCTAGACGAAAAGCGTCATAATCATTACAGTTTTGATTGTGCCATAAAACCCTAAACCAAAGGTCCCATTACGGTTTTTTTTGTGTCGTGAAACCTTGAACCAAAGTATTCTGTTATAGAGCTCAATCTCTCACGGGTCTCTCTCTCTCATCAGATATTTGAGGTAATAAATATTTATGTAGATTTATTTTTTGAGTCCATGTTTCGAGCTTACTGTGTGATGATGGATTGTATTGTTTC